GTCATTTGTTGATTTGTTGATGATAGCCATTCTGACAGGTGTGAGATGGTATCTCATTGTTGTTTTGATTTGCATTTCTTGGATGATTAGTGACTTTGAGTATGTTTTCATATGTCTCTGGGCTTTCTGTATGTCCTTCCGAAAAGTGTCTATTTAGATCCTTTGCCCATTTTTTTTATTGGATCGTTTATCTTCCTTTTGTCAAGTTGTATGACTTATCTGTAAATTTTGGAGATTAAACCCTTATTGGAAATATCATTGGCAAATATGTTCTCCCATGCAGTGGGCTTTCTTGTTGTTTTGTTGATGGTTTCTTTTGCTGTGCAGAAGCTTTTTATTTTGATGTAGTCCCATTTATTTATATTCTCCTTAGTCTCCATTGCCCTAGGAGCTGTGTCTGTAAAGATATTGCTATGACATATGTCTGCTATTTTGCTGCCTATCGAGTCTTGTAGAATTTTTATGGTTTCCTGTCTTACATTTAAGTCCTTTAGCCATTTTGAGTTTGTTTTTGTGTATGGTATAAGTTGGTGATCTAGTTTCATTGGAGCTTTTTTTTGTAAATATATTTTTATTGATTTCAGAGTGAGAAAGGGGGGGGGAGAGAGAGAGAGAGAGAGAGAGAGACATCAATAATGAGAGAGAATCATTGATTGGCTGCTTCCTGCATGCCCCATACTGGAGATTGGGCCAGCAACCCAGGTTCCTGACTGGGAATTGAACCATGACCTCCTGGTTCATAGGTCAAACTCTGAGCCACACCGGCCAGGCCCTTGGAACTTCTTGCTCTCTTTCCTAGCCTTTGCCTTTGTTTCCCTCTCTCTGAATCATCACCTTCATCTAAGTAGTTAGTCAGATGTCATGTTAAAGATGTATTTTGTTTACTCGTTAATTGAAAATAGTTTCAAAGTATCACCTAATTTTATTTAGCTACATACAAATAAATCAAAAGTTCTATATCTGTTTTCATTATATCAATGTTAATCTTAAATGTCAAGACTTCTTTATGTTTCTTATTAATGAATGAATTCATTCATTTTTCAGCTAAAGGTTATGCTGAATTACCTGAGGGATGCAGCAAATATATTTGTTCCAAGTGGAAAACTCATGAAGATAGTGGATGAAAAGTTGGTAAGAAATATTATTTCCTACAATAAATTTAGAAACACACAGTTCAGAAAAGGCTCTGGTATTTATTTAAAGGCATAATTTTACAACCTTTTCTAAGGAGCTTGGACACATTTGCTTTTATTCTAGACAACTGTCAAAACTTCGGGGACTGGACATTCTAGGGCTTAGTATGATCAGAGCAGGGACATGAAATAGCATGGCCAATTTTGGCTGTTAACTGCTCTTCAGTGTTATTTAAAAGTCTTGACAATTTTACAGAGCAGTGGGCAAAATATACCTATTTCATCTGGGAGTATGGCGTTTCCTTCCCCGTAATGTACACTTGGGCTTTCAAGTTCGTTATTGGACATTTGGTGTTTTTCTCAAGTGCTTTGCCCAGGACACCAGAGTGTTCGGGGGGAGGGGGGAGAGAGGCAGTCCGTGCATCGAAGGATGCCAGTAGCAGCATCGAAGGATGCCAGTAGTACCTCTTCAGTTGTGGCAACTGAAACTGTTTCTGGATGTCACCAAATCTTCCCAGGGCTGGGGTTGGGGGAGCCACCCGTGGTTGAGAATCACCCCCCCAGATACCCTGGGCATATTACCCCCATGAGACTGGCTCCTGCCAACCAGCAAACTTGCCTTCTCTCATGTGCATGCTCTCCCAGCCTTTCAGGAAGGCTCTCCCTGTGGTTGTCCTAACCAGACCTCCTCGAAGTACATGTGGGCAGGAGCAGCAGCACAAGTCCCCCTCCTCTGCATGTCAGCAGGGGGCGCAGTGTGCAAAGGGTGCCCAGACTTTACCATCTGACAGCATTGAGGTTTTCGTTCTTTAAATTTTGGATTTGATTGAAGGTTGGATCAGTCACGTAATAGCTACTTGTCCTTGGACAAGTTTCTTTTTTGTTTTTGTTTTTTAAAATATATTTTATTGATTTTTTACAGAGAGGAAGGGAGAGATAGAGAGTTAGAAACATCGATGAGAGAGAAACATCGATCAGCTGCCTCCTGCACACCCCCTACTGGGGATGTGCCCGCAACCAAGGTACATGCCCTTGAACGGAATCGAACTTGAGACCTTCCAGTCCGAAGGCCGACGCTCTATCCACTGAGCTAAACCGGTTAGGGCATTGGACAAGTTTCTTAAGGAACTTCAGCTTTCTCCCAGGGAGAATTTGCTAATGCACACTGTACATGGTGGTTGTAAGGATTAAATGACATACTATATGTAAAGCACAGTGCCTGAATATGAGAAGTGGTTAATAAATGTTCAATAAGGCATTTTTGTTTGTTAAATTGGAGGGAATATTCGTTGTGCATTGCCATAGGTCCCATTGCATATAAATATCAAGCTGGTGAAAAATGAGACTTGTACATTTTATTTATTTATTTAGTTAGTTATATTTTTAAAATATGTTTTTATTGATTTCAGAGAAGTAGGGAGAGGGAAAGAAAGAGATAGAAACATCAATGATATGAGAGAGTCATTGATCGGCTGTCTCCCGCATGCCCCCCAACTGGGGATCAAGTCTACAACCTGGCTATGTGCCCTTGACTGGAATTGAACCTGGGACCCTTCAGTCTGCAGGTCAATGCTGTATCCACTGAGCCAAACCAGCTACAGCGAAACTTGTACATTTTAAACTCATTATCTTATTAACAAGAGGCTGTGTGAGCTTACATCTTAATCTCATTGCTGGAGAGTAGGTGCAGTTGAGGATAAAAGTATGATGCCCACCATTGAGTTTGCATAAAGCGTCTTAGGCCAAGATCAGATATTAACTGTGATAGAAGTTTTCATGAGTGACTAGAATACAGATGTTTGCTGTGTGGGGGAAGGAACTAGAAATGAGGGTTTAATGCCGTTGGCTACAGGGTGAGTTTGCGTAGAGAGATAGGGAGTGCTTCTTGTGAGGTTCCTGTGTGGTGGGCCATATAAGGTCAGCAAGTGGAACTATCCCAGGTCCTCAGCTCTCTGGAGAAGAGGGTGGAATAGAAACAGTCAGAGAATCACAGGTTTCTGCACAGTGCCTGAGAACAGATGAGCTCACAGGTCTCAAAGCAGGCGTTACGGTGAGTATGACATAGATCTTTTAGAAATACACGGTGTAAAAGTGCCTTTAAAAATAAGATCACCTATTGTGGCAGCAGCATCTAGAACAAATTATATGTAAAAGAACCAAAACTCAAAGCAGCCCTTTAGGTCGAATGATTGTTAATTTGTTTGGTTTTCAGCCTGGTCTACTTGGCAACTTTCCTGGCCCTTATGTGGAGGAAATGAAGGGGATTGCAGATGTTACTGGCATACCTTTTGGTAAAGTTCATTTCTCAGCTCTTAAAAAATGTAATAAAGCACTGAAAATGTTTTCTATTGAGGTATGATACACATACAGTAAAGCGCACAGATCTTAAGTATACAGTTCAATAGAATTTTTAAAATACTTACATGCACGTAATTGCAACTCAGATCAACATACAGAAAATTCCAGCCACCTAGAATGCTCCATCATACCTCTTCATAGACAACAGACAATACCTCGTCCCCAGGTGACGGCTGTTCTGACTTCAAACTCGATTAGTTTTGCCTCTTGAACTGCTTATAAATAGAACCAAACAATATGCACTATTGTGTTTGGTTGCTTATACTTATTGTATGAATAGGATATTTGGCTTGTTTCCAGATTCTGGATGTTAAGAATAAACAGTTATGAACATTCTTGTACGTGTCTTTTGATGGACATGCCAAAGCAAAAGCTCACACGGTGATGACAGTCCAACCCTTTCTTAAAGAAGAATTTTCTAATAATGTCATGGTTCTGTATGTTAACCAAAAAATGTCCTATCTTTTCTCATAGGAGAGATTATTTCATTCAATGTTTTCTATGAATTTTTTACCATTTGTACCTCAATCATAGCAGAGGACAAGAAAGGTAAGTATGCTGAGGAAGGGTGAGCACTGCCAAGCACAGGGTCAAAGAAGAAACTTCCAAATAAGTGGAATTAGAACGTATGAAATCTAGGCTTGCCATGCAGATTCTGTGTATGTTGCATACAGTGTATGGATCTTGGTAAAGTTTTAAAAGTGGGTTGAAAACAATCCTTACTTTAAGATCATTGTAATGCCCATTGATGTTTAATTCAGGCCCACGAAACACTGGGAAGAAGTGTCTCGGGACTGTGCCCATAGTCTACTCGTACCCACCTTCGTGATTTGATATAAGTACCCACAGGGTGCGTCATTACCCTGTGCGTAATGCCGTAATGACCCAGCCTTCCCTTGAAGCCCAGGACCAGTCTTCTCCCATCATTTCTCAGCCAAGGGGCCCCAGGTAGCCCCCTTCACTTTCCCATGTTTTTCTAGCAGATCCTCAGAGTACAGGGCACAGCGTGATTTGCCCCGATTCACTCTTATTTTTTACCTGTTCTTTGAGGGGCCCAGGTATTGGTGGCAATGCCTGAAGCATGTTTGCAGGTCACGTTAGGGGAGGCTAAAATAGCCATGTTCGGGTAGGACCCTGTCATAGTGGAGCAAAGAATAACCATTGATCCTTTCCCCATATTCTTATCTTACCTGAAACCCTGTTTTCGCAGGGATTATGGGGGGATCTGGCTGATGTGACAGGGACAACAGTTTGGCTTATGGTGCCAGGACGTGGCTAATTCTTATTGTTGGTTTGAATAGCTGTGACTGTCATTTAACCAAAATTCAGTGTCCAGCTTTAAGATCAATCGTACTATCATAACTGCTCCTACATGTCTCTCTTGCTTTCTTTCAATTAGGTCATTTAGTACATGGGCGGAACATGGATTTTGGAATATTTCTTGGGTACGTAAAGAAAATGGTATCAGTCCTTGAGAAGAATAGGTTTATTACAATGGTGAAAAGTCCCAGGTCACCCTCAAAGTGTGGCCAGAAGTGACGAGAGGACTCCTGAGTTTTGAGAGAAGATGGTACACTCTGCTCAGTTATTGGCAAGTGCATAACTGAGTTGCACCTAGTGAACAAAACTTAGCAGTGTGCTTGAAGGCCCAGATGCATGTCTAGTATATTGCTTCAAAGGAAGAATAGCATTCTATTTTATGACTTCTTGCTTTTTCTGGGGGAAAAAATAACAGGGCTTTATAATTAGACACCTAAATTTGAATCTGGAGTTTGTTATTTATAGACTTATATGTTGGGAGAAGCCTTAACTTCTCTGAGCCTCGCTTTTGTCATGTGAAGAATGGAGGATAAAATCACCCATATTGTTCTTTTTTTATTGAATTTATTGGGGAGGGATTGGTTAATAAAATTATATAGGTTTCAGTTGTACAGTTCTATAACACATCATCTGTATATTGTATCGTGTGTTCACTACCCCAAGTCAAGTCTCCTTCCATCACCCTTTATCCCCCCTTTACCACCTTCTACCTCTCCCCACCCCCTCGACATCCAGCCACATCTGGTAATCTCCATGCTGTTGTCTGTGCCTATGAGGATTAGTTTTCTTACTCCCTTACCTTTTTCACCCAGCCCCCCAACCCCCTCCCCCGTGATACAAAGTACTCGTTAGGATTGATTGTTAAGGATTAGATAGGTAAAGTACCTAGTATAATGCCTGGCCATCATCATCATATTCATCATTATCATCATTGTTCTTAAATGTCACTAAATTTGTCTTTTATAGGTGGAATATGAATAATAATACCTGGACCGTAACTGAAGAGCTAAAACCTTTAACAGTGAATTTGGACTTCCAAAGAAATAATAAAACTGTCTTCAAGGCTGCAAGCTTTGCTGGCTATGTGGGCATGTTAACAGGATTCAAACCAGTAAGGAATCTACCGTTACGTAATTGTACAGGTAGCTCTGTGTCCTGCTTTTACTCTCTGAGAAGGGTGGAGTCTAAGGAAATGAGGACCTAAAAAGAATATGAAGCCCCTGTGCGTCCCTTTGTACTTCCTGTCACCTTCATATAGGTATGAGCTCCACGGCAGAGAAGGGTGGAAAGGAATGAAGGTTTCCCAGCCCGTTCTGCGGAAAAGCATGTGGCTGGATGTCGAGGGCTGGGAACAGCAATCTGGAATCTGGTCCTGGGTCTGCCCCTCGGCACCTCAGGCATTAATTCTCTGCCCTGCAGTTAGTTAGAAAAGTGAGGCCAGTACCATCCCACCTACTTGTCTCGTCCACGAGGTGTGAAAATCCTTTGAACTTCCAGAAAAGCTGTTTATACAAGGTGGTATTACCACGATTATTATCTTTGAATTCCCCGTTACCCAGTCCAGGTCTCGATATACCATGTACAGTGCAGTGAGAGGGCCTGAAACAGGATGGTCCAAGTGTCTGACTTCACTCCCTTGTCTTCTCCTCAGGGACTCTTTAGCCTTACACTAAATGAGCGTTTCAGCACAAATGGCGGTTTTATGGGTGAGTAGACAGCTGTTAATGAAATGGAAATTTCATAGATGTTTTCAGAGGAGGGCTGGACTGTGCATTCTGGTGAACACTCTCACCTCTTCCAGCTCCCATGACACTGTGTGTGATCTCTTCCAGGTGTCTTAGAATGGATTTTGGGAAAGAAAGATGCTATGTGGATTGGGTTTCTCACTAGAGCAGTTCTGGAAAATAGTACAAGGTAATCCATTTGCTTTATTATCATATTTAGTATTTTATTTTAAAACTAGAGGCCCGGTGCATGGGAGTTTCTGTCTGTCTTTGCAATCCTATGAGCGAATTGTCTGAGACCCAACTCAGTTTGGTTTGTTGCTCACAGAATAATAGAGGCATTTTTTTTTCTTTGCTTCATTGGTAGAGATTTCCTGGAAGTTTTAGGATATCTTCCCTTTAATTTTTCCTAGACACTCTGATTTTACTTATGTCTCTCACCTTTGCTTTCCCTCCATCCCCCACTGCAACAGTAACTTGCTCCAGGCTCACTTTGCTCTAGTGCAGTGGTTCTCAACCTTCTGGCCCTTTAAATACAGTTCCTCATGTTGTGACCCAACCGTAAAATTATTTTTGTTGCTACTTCATAACTGTAATGTTGCTACTGTTATGAATCGTAATGTAAATATCTGATATGCAGGATGGTCTTAGGCAACCCCTGTGAAAGGGTCGTTTGGCCACCAAAGGGGTCACGACCTACAGGTTGAGAACTGCTGCTCTAGTGTCTAGGAGATCCGTCTGCCACCAGAACTACGATTCCCAGCACTCCTGGTGCTCCCTGCGCTCTGGGCTTCTGCTTCCGGTCCTGGGGCTGCCACCAGAACTACTATTCCCAGAATTCCTGGTGATCCCCATGCTCTTGGTTTTCCCTTCCTGCTCTGTCTCCGTCCCACAGCCTCCTACTCTGCCAAGTAATTCAAACCGCCAGCTCTCCCTCTCTGCTCTCCATCTGGTGGCTTGGGGAGCCAAGTTCCCCAAGTTGCTCCACTCTCCACTGGCTCTCCTGCTCTACTCTCCACCTGGCGCCTTTGTATACAGATTAACCCACCATCTTTGTTGGCTTAATTTGCATACTCACTCCTGATTGGCTGGTGAGCATAGTGGAGGGAAGGTCAATTTACATGTTTCTCTTTTATTATATAGGACGCACAAAAATTTGTGTACTCGGGGGGGAGGGGAGGGTCCCTCAGCCCGGCCTGTGCCCTCTCACAGTCTGGGACCCCTCAGGAGATAATGACCTGCTGGCTTAGGCCTACTCCCGGGTGGCAGAGGGCAGGCCCAATCCCTAGGTGCAGCCCCTGGTCGGGCTCAGAGCAAGGCCGACTGGGGAGTTGGGGCGCTGCCCCCAGTCATGCACAGAGTAGGGGGGATCGGGAGGTTGCGATGCCACCTCTAGTCACGCTCGGGGTACAGCCGATTGGGGGGTTGGGGCACCGCCCCCTGTCACACTCAAGGCAAGGTCAATAGGGAAGTTGCGGTGCTGCCCCCTGTCATGCACAGAGCAGGGCCCATCAGGGGGGTTGGGGCTCCGTACCCTGTCACACACAGAGCAGGGCCGATCAGGGGGTTGGGGCGCTGCCCCCTGTCATGCACAGAGCAGGGCCCATCAGGGGGGTTGGGGCTCTGTACCCTGTCACACACAAAGCAGGGCCCATCAGGGGGTTGGGGAGCTCCCCCCTGTCACGCACAGAGCAGGGCCCATCAGGGGGTTGAGGAAGGGTAGCGGTCGTACGCTAATTACGATGTTTCTCTTTTATTAGATAGGATTATTTTTATTGATATAATTAAAGTGTAACGTTAGTTTAAGGTATACAAAATGTTTTGATATTTGTATATATTGCAAAATGATCACAATAAGTGTAACATCCATCACCATTCATAGTTACAAACTTTTTTCCTTATGAGAGCTTTAAGGTTTACTTTTAGCAACTTTAGAATATTCAATCCAGTGTTATTAACTGTAGTAACCATGCTGTACCTTACAACCCCAGGACTTATTGTATAACTCAACATTTTTACCTTTTGACCCCCTCTACCCATTTCAACCTCCCTCCCTCCCCATCACTCAACTGCCTCTGGCAACCACTAATCTGTTCTCTGTACCTATACATTTTTTTGTGTTCATACTCCACATATAAGTGAGCTCATATGGTACTTGTCTTTCACTGTCTGATTGGTTTCACTTAGCATAATGCCCTCAAGATCCATCCCTGTCAGAAATGGCAAGATCTTTTTTCTTTGGCCGAATAGTATTCCACATTTTCTTTACCCATTTCTCCGCATATGGACACCTGTTACGTTTCCATGTTTTGGCTATTACAAATAACTAGAGGCCCGGTGCACAAAAATTTGTGCACTCGGCAAGGGGGGTGTCCCTCAGCCCGGCCTGTGCCCTCTTGCAGTCTGGGATCCCTAGGGGGATGTCCACCTGCTGGCTTAGGCCCGCTCCCCGGGGGATTGGACCTAAGCTGACAGTCAAACATCCCTCTGGCAGCCAGGGAACCCTCGGGGGATGTCCACTTGCCAGGGGGGAGCAGGCCTAACCTGCAGTCGGACATCTTTAGCACTGCTGAGGAGGCGGGAGAGGCTCCCACCACCACCGCTATACTGGCAGCCGTCAGCCTGGCTTGTAGCTGAGCAGAGCTCCCTGTGTGGGAGTGCACTGACCACCAGGGGGCATCTCCTGCATTGAGCATCTGCCCCCTGGTGGTCAGTGTGTGTCATAGTGACCAGTCATTCCCAGTGGTTCTGCTGTTAGGGTCAATTTGCATATTACCCTGTTATTACATAGGAGTGCCTGGGCAGTCTGGGTGAGGGGCTGATGGCTGTTTGCAGGCTGGCCACAGCCCCTTCAGTGTGGGGGTCCCCACTGGGGTGCCTGGCCATCCTGGGTGAGGGGCTGAGGGCTGTTTGCAGGCTGGCCACTGCCCCTTCGGGGTGGGGGGGTCCTGCTGCGGTGCCTGGCCAGTCTGGGTGAGGGGCTGAGGGCCGTTTTCAGGCTTGCTAAGCCCCCCAGTGGGGACCCTCACCCCATGAGGGTGTGGCCAACCTGGGTGAGGGGCTGATGGTTGTTTGCAAGCTGGCCACAGCCCCTTCAGGGTGGAGGGGGTCCTGCTGGGGTGCCTGGCCAGTCTGGGTGAGGGGCTGAGGGCCGTTTTCAGGCTTGCTGCAAACTGCGGCTCTCGAGCCACATGCGGCTCTTTGGCCCCTTGAGTGTGGCTCTTCCTAAGCCTTAGGAGTACCCTAATTAAGTTAATAACAATGTACCTACCTATATAGTTTACGTTTAAAAAATTTGGCTCTCAAAAGAAATTTCAATCGTACTGTTGATATTTGGCTCTGTTGACTAATGAGTTTGCCAACCACTGGTGTAGATGCTTCAGTGAACATGGGGGTGCATAATTTTTTTTGGATACTGTTTTCCATAGTGGCTGCACCAATTTACATTCCCACCAACAGTGCACAGGGTCCCTTTTCTCCACATCCTCACCATCACTTGTTATTTCAGGTCATTTGAGAAAAGTGATTCTAACAGTTGTGAGGTGGTATCTCATTGTGGTTTGATTTGCATTTCCCTGATTACTGATGTTAAGCATCTTTTTTTAAAAATATATATTTTATTGATTTTTTACAGAGAGGAAGGGAGATGGATAGAGAGTCAGAAACATCGATGAGAGAGAAACATCGATCAGCTGCCTCCTGCACACTCCCTATTGGGGATGTGCCTGCAACCAAGGTACATGCCCTTGACTGGAATCAAACCCGGGACCCTTGAGTCCGCAGGCCGACACTCTATCCATTGAGCCAAACCAGCTAGGGCAAGCATCTTTTCATGGACCTGGTGGCCACCTGTATATCTTCTTTGGAAAAATGTCTAGTAAGAACCTCTGCCCATTTTTTAATAGGATTGTTTGTTTTTTTGGTGTGGTTTATTTTTTGCTATTGAGTTGCATAAGTTCTTTATGTATTGTGGATGGTAACCCTTATCAGATACATGCTTTGCAAATATTTCCTCCCATTCAGTAGGTTTCCTTTTCATTTTGTTGTTTTCTTTGCTGTGCAGAAGCTTTTTAGTTTGATATTAGCTAAAGTCTCACTTGTTTATTTTTGCTTTTGTTGCTTTTGATTTTGGTGTCAAGTCCAAAAAATCATAGCCAATAGCATTGTCAAAGAACTTACCACTTATATTTTCTTCTAGTTTTATGGTTTCAGGTCTTATGTTCAAGTCTTCACTTCATTTTGAGTTGATTTTTGTGTATGGTGTGAGATAGTGGTCTGTTTTTATTCTTTTGCATGTGGCTGTCCAGTTTTCCCAAAGTCATTTATTGAAGAGACTGTCCTTTCCCCATTGGGTATTCTTGACTCCTTTGTTGTAAATTAATTGACTGTATACACATGGATTTGTTTGGGGACTCTCTATTGTCTTCCATTGAGCTATATGTCTGTTTATGCCAATACCATGCTGTTTTGATTACTATAGATTTGTCATATAATTTGAAATCAGGAAGTGGGATGTCTCCAACTTTGTTCTTTCTCAATATTGCATTTGCTATTCAGGGTTTTTTAGTGACTCCATGTAATTTTAGGATATTTTCTTCTGTGAAAAATGCCATTAGAATTTTGATAGGGATTGAATCTGTAGATTGCTTTGGGTAGTATAGAATTTTAACAATATTAATTTCCCAATCCATGAGCAGGGAGTATCTTTCCATTTATTTATGTCTTCCATTTCTTTCATCAATGTCTTACAGTTTTCAGTGTACTGGTCTTTCACCTCCTGGGTTAAATTTATTCCTTGGTATTTTATTCTTTTTTATATAATTGTAAATGGGATTATTTTCTTAATTTCTCTTTTGGGTAGTTCATTGTTAGTGCGTAGCTACTGATTTTTGTACGTTTTTACCCTGCAACTTTACTGAATTTATTAGTTCTAACAGGTTTCTTTAGTGTAGTCTTTAGTTTTTTTCTATATATAATACCTAAACAAATAGCATACCTTTCTGATTTGGATACCTTTTCTTTTTCTTAATTGCTTTGACTAGTACTGCCAACATCCTATCTAATAAAAGAGTAATATGCAAATTAACCATTACTCTGTCACTCCGTCACAAAGATGGCGGCGGCCACGGAGCTGGAGCAAGGAGGAGGCTTGGGTTGCCCCGGCGATGGAGGAAGCCAAGCTTCCCGCCTGCCCTGACCGGCCCTGAACTCCGCTCAAGGCTACAAAGTTTCAATTATAGAAGATAAATAAATCCCAGATACCTGCTTCCAGCCACTGTGGCCTCTGCTCAAGGAGAGGCTGAGAGCCTCGGTTGCCAGGGGTAACCCAGGCTTCGAGCAGGACCAGGGCTACAAAGTTTCAATTATAGAAGTTAAATAAATCCCAGATACCTGCTTCCAACCCCCGGGCGTGGCTAGCCTGAAAACGGCCATCAGCCCCTCACCCAGGCACCCCAGTGGGGACCCACACCCTGAAAGGGGTGTGACCAGCCTGAAAATAGCCCTCAGCCCCTCACCCAGGCTGGCCACACTTCCATGGGGTGAGGGTCCCCACTGGGGGGCTGGACCAGCCTGAAAACGGCCCTCAGCCCCTCACCCAGGCTGGCCACACTTCCATGGGGTGAGGGTCCCCACTGGGGGGCTGGACCAGCCTGAAAACGGCCCTCAGCCCCTCACCCAGGCTGGCCACACTTCCATGGGGTGAGGGTCCCCACTGGGGGGCTGGACCAGCCTGAAAACGGCCCTCAGCCCCTCACCCAGGCTGGCCACACTTCCATGGGGTGAGGGTCCCCACTGGGGGGCTGGACCAGCCTGAAAACGGCCCTCAGCCCCTCACCCAGGCTGGCCACACTTCCATGGGGTGAGGGTCCCCACTGGGGGGCTGGACCAGCCTGAAAACGGCCCTCAGCCCCTCACCCAGGCTGACCAGGTACCCCAGCAGGACCCCACCCTGATCCAGTACACCCTTCAGGGCGAACCAGCTGGCTCCCACCCGTGCACCAGGCCTCTATCCTATATAAAAGGGTAATATGCAAATTGACCCTAACAGCAGAACCACTGGGAATGACTGGTCACTATGACAAACACTGAACACCAGAGGGCAGACGCTCAATGCAGGAGATGCCCCCTGGTGGTCAGTGCGCTCCCACAGGGGGTAGCTCTGCTCAGCCACAAGCCAGGCTGATGGCTGCCAGCACAGCAGTGGTGGCGGGAGCCTTTCCCACCTCCTCAGCAGCACTAAGGATGTCTGACTGCAGCTTAGGCCTGCTCCCTGATGGCAAGTGGACATCCCCCGAGGGCTCCCGGGCTTCCAGAGGATGTCTGACTGCCAGCTTAGGCCCGTTCCTCTGGGGAGCGGGCCTAAGCCAGCAGGTGGACATCCCCCGAAAGGTCCCAGACTGCGAGAGGGCACAGGCCGGGCTGAGGGACTCCCCCCTCCCCGAGTGCACAAATTTTTGTGCACCGGGCCTCTAGTTATCTATAATAACAAAAGCATAATATGCTAGTTAGACCAGACGTCCTTCCAGACATCCTTCCAGATGAAGCTGGGGCTGCGAGGGAAGCCCAGGTCCCAGGTTCCAGGTGCCTGCCGGTGTCTGGAGGGAAGCCTGGGTCCCGAGTACCAGAGGGAAGCCGGTGCCAGCAGCCGGGGGAAAGAAGGCCTACTCTTGCACAAATTTTGTGCATTGGGCCTCTAGTATAGAATAAAATGGGCATCTTTGTCTTGTTCCTGGAGGAAAAGAATTCATTCAGCTTTTCACCATTGAATAAGTTAGCTGTGGGCTCATCATCTATGGCCTTAAATATGTCCCAGTTGACATGGTGTATGATTCTTTCAGTATATTGTTTATTTTAAATTATTCATATTAAAATAGAAAAATATTTCCCAGGTTTATCTTCAATTGAAGAATCATTTCAGAATTTTGTAGGTGAATCTCATATGGAATTCTTCATTTGTGTGTGTGGAGTGAGTGTTTAATGTAAGGAAATTATTTGTTTAAAAAGTTCTGGAGATAGTGCCACTATGAAGGGACCTATACCCAAAATAAAAATTCTGTATAATAAAAGCCCAGCGACCACACAGTACAACCAGAGACCAGAACAACCACAGCTCCTCACCCCAGCCAGCCGCCCCCCCAGCGAGCGGTTAGGGGCGATCAGGGAGGCAGAGTGGTTAGGGGCCATCAGGCAGGCAGTGAGCAGTTAGGGGTCAACAGTCCCGGATTGTGAGAGGGTGTGCACTGGGCTGAGAGGGACCCTTCCCCCCACTCCATGCACAAATTTCATGCACTGGGCCTCTAGTTATATAATAAAATGTCCCTTTAAGTCATAATACCTGTTAACCTAGAACAGTGATGGCGAACCTTTTGAGCTTGGCGTGTCAGCATTTTGAAAAACCCTAACTTAACTCTGGTGCCGTGTCACATATAGAAATTTTTTGATATTTGCAACCATAGTAAAACAAAGACTTCTATTTTTTATATTTATTTTATATATTTAAATGCCATTTAACAAAGAAAAATCAACCAAAAAAATGAGTTCGTGTGTCACCTCTGACACGCGTGTCATAGGTTCGCCATCACTGACCTAGAAGTTATATTCTGTGCTGGTGCAGAAATCTTATAATAGCAAAACTGCCTTTAGCCAGCACTACATCTAAATGACCTAGAATAAAGGGGCATCAATTCTATTTTTAATGCTTTCCAGGGAATAAGATTTAGTAATCTTCTTTGAAGATCCTCTTCCTTGATTAATAGCCCTAATTTCCAAGGTTTACTCTCTATTCCCTAAGTCCTATATATATCGTAATACTACTTCCTCTTGTTCTATTGTTGAGTGAAAGGCATAGACAATAAGGGTGGAAGATTATCTCTTGAGACTGTTGTGTTTGTCCTTCAGCCTAGAGGGGACATTTCAGATCTGCGTTTCACCACATGGGAGTCAGAGATTGTTCCTCCCTGAGCCATTGCTCACCATCCTTTTTAAAATATGCTCCTCAGATATTTGTTTTCGCTTCGTTTCTGTAGTTAAAAAACTTCCATTCCAAGTCAACTAAGAATGTTTCTTTTCTACAACATGTGTTTATGTAGTTATGAAGAAGCCAAGAATATATTGATCAAAACGAAGATACTGGCCCCAGCATACTTTATCCTGGGAGGCAACAAGTCGGGGGAGGGCTGTGTGATTACACGAGAAAGAAAGAAATCTTTGGATGTTTACGAGTAAGTACATTGTTAAAGCAAAGTAGAAGCTAAAGCACAGACTGACATATGTTTAGGTTTAAGGCATGGGCCTGAGAGGAATCTCTTTTCGTATCTAGACTCGACCTCAAGCAGGATAGATGGTATGTCGTAGAAACTAACTATGACCGTTGGAAACGTCCCCTCTTCCTCGATGATCGCAGATCAGCTACCAAGACGTGTCTAAACCAGACAACCCAGGAGGTAAAGAGCATTCACAGTGTCAGATATAGAAAGAAATGGCCTCATTAAGATTGTATCAGTTCTGGCATTGTTATTGGGCCTTTATGGAGTTTATAAGCCTCGTGTTATCTGTTATCAATGGATAGTCCCCACCGAGTTTTTGTTTTTAATTTAAAGAGCAAAATTTTGCTGTACTTCCCTTTCTAATTCTAGAAACCACTTAGTGAAGTGAATGATAGACAAGAATTAAAAGGGGAGGAAAAGTCAGAAAAAGTGAAACATGAGAACTGTTACCTGTGTTTCTAACAGTGACCCCAAAGGAAATTCATTTAGGGGCTGGGGAGGTTGATTGACAATGTCTTGGTTTCTAATTACCCATTTGTGTGCATAAGGCTGTTGACGTCTGTATTTAATGTACTGAACAACCTATTTTTATGTTTCAGAATATCTCATTACCAACTATCTATGATATCCTGTCAACAAAACCTGTCCTCAACAAGGTATTTAAAATATATACATATATTTGCTTTTAGGGAAAGAATTTGGTCCTGTTTTATCTTTCCCTGTTATCATTGGAGAAGTCAGAGCTAGAATCACAAGGCATGTTCAGCTTAAGTCCGACTTTTAAAAATGTTTTTGTGTGACTAAAGTAGTAACTGTTGGGACGGGGCAAAGAAACGGATCATGTGGCTTGGATGTCAGCTTGGTCAGAGTATTGTTTCTAGTTTTGCTTACATGGCATTGAATTAAGTGTAGCGTTTTAGCCTTGGCTTCTCCCTGTCCACCAGAATCTTATGCTGTACACTACAACTAGCCTAAAACCTGACCAGAGTCCATTCTGAGGCAGAGCTTTGTGTCTTGGTGGATTAGGGTCTCTTAAACTTCATTACATCCTTTTATCTTTTCCCCACACTATAGCTAAAAATGCAGTTTCCTAGTCACCCAGTGTACTAATAAGTCCCCCTTGTGTATTCTGGATATACACACCCTGTTTTTCCCATTTGTCCTCCTCTTTGGTCCTTCCCCCTAACCCTCCCTAAAATCAGCCTGCCTCCATCACCTCTGCCTGTAGCATTCAATCCGAACCTGGCTCATGCAGGAAGCCTTCCTTAAGCCCACTGACCCTGCCATACTTCTTGTTTGGCCCATGCCATCATCATGAGAGCTCACAGTGGTTATTTACAGATCCCGTGTGCCTCCTGTGTGTATGCCTTTAATCTACATGCCTGCATAGTGTCCCCCACTGTTTATGGTTTAAGGATAAGGACAGCTAAAGCACAACTGTTCGGACTCCACAGTACACCATTAGGCTCTGGAGGCTGAAGGCTAGTCTTACAGCCTTGCTGGTGAAGCAGCGTGCTGCCCAGGAAGAGACCTTGCTTCTCTCCCAAGCCTATCATATTCACAACCTGGAATAATAGTCTGTTGAAGTCAGTTTAGACTTTATATTATATAACATTTGTTTTATATACTTACTTATATGTAATATTATATATTCATTATTTAATATTAACTTCATAAAGCAGTTCCATAAGAAATGCTAATGTGAATCAGGACATCTTAGAATTGAAAACATCCTTAAAATAAAAATAACTTTTTTTTTTCAGCTGACTGTATTCACAACCTTGATGGACGTTACCAAAGGTCAATTTGAAACGTACCTTCGGGATTGCCCAGACCCTTGTATCGGCTGGTGAGCACACACCTGGCCTACAGAGTGCACTGTGACGTCAAGGGGGGAGCTCACAGGTGGCCCACGAGTGCAGCCATCGGATCTCTGACCAAGAACTAAGACTCAGGGCAGCTTCTCTTTCAGGCATGAGCTTGTCCGTGTCTTTGTATGTTTACAATTCACAGGCTATTTGTGCCGCAACAGTTGACTGTTCTTATTTACAGATAATTTAAGTACAGCAATCATTTAGAATTTGTTGAGTTTCATTTCACTTTAACATTTGGGGATGGGCAGTTAAACTATCATGGGACCCACTTCTATAGAATAAAGCAGGAGTCTTATGGGCGCTGAAATCAGCACATCTGCGTAATAGCTACAGCAAATTGTTTTACACTTTTATCTATAGTGGGCGCTGAATCAGCACATCTGCGTAATAGCTACAGCAAATTGTTTTCCACTTTTATCTATAGATTTGTGTATTTTCCTGTATAGCAGTCTTTTCCTCCTGATACTAATTGCTACTAAAGTTAATACAGTATACCACTGTCTCCTGTGTGTGACAGCAATGTTATTTCACTAACTTTGAAGGGAGAAATACATTCAACTGTGTATTTCTTAATGGGCAATACCTGGGCCTTTGACTCTAAATAGAAGTACTTTTTAGGGGTCATGAAGCAATCAGTATGCAACATAGTCTTTTATACACAGAATGGAGGTGTTTCCTTTTTCATAATGACCCTACCTCCCAGAAACCCCAGGACGTTAGCTTTAAAAACTGAGGCCCAGGTTCTGTGAATTAATAGTAGATAAACAGGTCAGACTTGTGGAAAATGGGATATGAACCCATTTTTTAACCTTCCTAGGGATTATCCACTTAATAGATTTTGAGTTTTTCCTTTTGATCAATATGTATTTTTTTAAACTAAGTAGTTACTAAAAATGTTTTTCAGAAATCAATATATTTATGAAAAATGCTAATTGCACTTGTTAACTTTTCAAACTCTCACAATTAACTGTGAACTGCATGCCAGTTGGGCATGACTGTATCCACTTCATTTCCATGTCAGTTGTATTCATGACGTCCAATAAAGCATTGTCAGCAGCCTTGTGTGCTGAGGGTACAACTACGCGCTGGTTTGAGGGTGGGGGCTATTATGGAGAAATCAAAGCTACTGAGTGTGTCTAAATGACAAGAATTGTGCAAGTGGGTTATTCAGCTTATGACTGGTTACAGTGTTACACGACAATCCTTGCCACTTCTTTTCCCACTGTTACCAGCTCAGTGTGCAGATGTTCAAAGGCAGCTTTTCCTCCCGGAATGGAGGTGTTCTTGGGTTTGTTACCTCAAAATTACAGTGATGCCAGTATTATCTTACTAAAGCAATAAGAATTATAAGAGAATTTGTGTTAAAATAGGATTCAATTAATGTAAAAAACTTTACTTGGAATTTTGTCCCTCTTATAAAAATGATGTGAGGTAAACTTTTATTTTTCTCAAGTAGCCTTTGATACACACAATAAAATGGGATGCTAATTGTTTCAAACTGATTCCTCAGGACTAAATTAAAGCGTATGAAGGTAATCTATAATAATAAAAACGTAATATGCTAATTAGATCGGACAGCCGAACAACCTTCCAAATGTCCTTCCAGATGAAGTTGGTGCTGCGAGGGCTGAGGCAAGCTGCCGCAGCTGCGAGGGCTGAGCCCCCTGCACGAATTTCGTGCATCGGACCTCTAATCCTATATAATAAAAGGCTAATATGCAAATCAACTGAATGGTGGAACGACTGGTCACTATGACGTGCACTGACCAGTAGGGGCCATACGCTCAATGCAGGAGCTGCCCCCTGGTGGTCAGGGCACTCCTACACGGGGAGCTCTGCTCAGCCAGTAGCCGTGCCGGGCTCACGGCTGGTGAGCGCAGCAGTGGTGGTAGGAGCCTCTGCCACCTCTGGGGCAGTGCTAAGGATGTCCAACTGCCAGCTTAGCCATCAGTTGGACATCCCCCGAGGGCTCCCAGACTGCAAGAGGGCACAGGCCGGGCTAAGGGACTCTCCCCACCCCAGTGCACAAATTTCGTGCACCCGGCCTCTAGTCCTATATAATAAGAGGCTAGTATGCAAATCAACTGAACAGCAGAACAACCTGTCGCTATGACGCACACTGATGTTCAGGGGGATACGCTCAATGCAGGAGCTGCCCCCTGGTGGTCAGTGCACTCCCACAGGGGGAGCGCCGCTCAGCCAGAAGCCAGGCTCACAGCTGGCGAGCAAAGAGGCAGTGGCAGGAGCCTCTCCCACCTCCACGGCAGCGCTAAGGAAGCGGGGCCTAAGCCATCAGTCGGACATCCCCTGAGGGCTCCCAGACTGCGAGAGGGCGCAGGCCTGGCTGAGGGACTCTCCCCACCCCCCAAGTGCACGATTTTTGTGCACCGGGTCTCTAGTAACTGATATTAAAATTTGAAGTAGAGTTGTTTACTTCATGATATATAGTATAGGCAGGCCTATTTATATAATACTTTATATATGCTTATGCATAAATAGGTATACATCTAGAACATAAAAAGATGATTAGGAGGAGATGTTTACAAATAGGTTGACAATGGTCCAACTGTAATTTTAGAAATGCTGGATAATAATCCTGGACTGGTTGCATCCAAACCAGGGCCTATAATTTCTCCACCTAGTTTTGGGTAAGGAGAAAAAGCAAGGGGCAATCATATGTGATATAATCCAAAGTGAAACTGAAAATTATAAAATCCAAAAAGTTATCTGAAATACTAATTTGTAGCTTAACTGAACTTCATTTATCCATGTCTTAAACATTGGGGGTTGGGAGGGACAGTAAGAGAGAGAATGGAAAGAGGAGAATGAAATGGAAGATAACTAGAATGGTGACACTGGGAAAACTCTACACTAAGATCCACTAGAACGAAGGCTCTTTATCTTTAGACCTCACATCCTTACGTAAAGAGGGGGAAATTACAAAAAGTGTTCAGAGCCAGGACATATTAGAAAAGAACGTTTGTTAAGCAAAGTATATATAGAACCAAGTGTGGGTTCTAGTAGATCCCCTCCTTCCTGTGCCTTTCTTTCCTCAAACATGGATACATATGTGATGCCTTACATTTGTGTAGCACTTGTCATCAAAACATTTACATGAACATTGGACAGACTAACCCATATTCCCCTTCTAGGAAAATACTGAATATCCAACAGGTGAAGGAGCAATGGAGATGGAAGAACTCTTTAATTGTCCACAGTCTCACTAAAAGAGAGGTTTAACACAAATGTTAAATATCACTAATGTGAATTGCATAGCACTTTATATTTTAAAAGTCTATGATGTTGCCCTGGCCGGTGTGGCTCGGTTGGGTGTTGTCCCTTGCACTGAAAGATTGCCAGTTCAGTTCCCAGTAAGGCACATGCCAGGGTTGTGGCTGATTGATGCTTCCTTCTCCCTTTCTCTCTCAACATCAATTATAAAAAATATTTTTAAAAATTCTTTCATGATGTCATTTGATCAATAGGATGGCCTTAAACAGGCTGCTATACTCTGGGAGATATAGTTCATTAAAGGTGAGGATTTTTAGCAATATAACAATATTTACAACTATTATTTATTTTAAGTTAATCACATGTGATTTGATAGACCTAAATATCAGGGATAACTAACTACACATAGCAATTCTTAATGCAAGAATATTACCATGGATGCAGAGTGGGGTGGTGAGGGTGGGGGTGGGCTGAAGGAGGTCGATGGGGGGAAAAAGGGGACATCTGTAATACTTTCAACAATAATGATTTTTTTAAAAAAGATTATTATATGAGAACTCTGTTGTACTGAAACTTTACAACTTTTCAAAATAACCAGTTTTCTGTAAATTGCTGGCCCAAAGGTTCTTTTTTTTAAAATATATTTTTATTGATTTCAGAAAGAGGGGGGGAGAGGGAGAGAAACATCAATGATGAGAGAATCATTGATTAACTGCCTCCTGCACACCCACTACTGGGGATTGATCCTGCAACCCGGGCATGTGCCCTTGACCAAAATCAAACCCGGGACCCTTCAGTCCACAGGTGTCGGCTCTATCCACTGAGCCAAACTAGCTAGGGCTCAACGGTTCGTTTATGGATATTTCTGAGTCTGGGCAGATGAAATGAATTGGTAATTAAAACTCTTCTTGTATCTGAATCAAAGTCATTTGTAGGCATAGGATTCTCCCATTCCTTAATCAGAAGCACCAGGAATATGAGGAAAGAACCAGACATGTAAATGCTAAAGTAACAATTAGAGTTGTACAGCAAGTTCAAGAAACACTGCCTCTTCCAGGATAGGTGACAAGGCAACCACATTTTTACAGTGAAATAAGTGAAATCCAGAACCAATTATTTTGTTAACAGATCAAGAATGGCCTGTTTATATTAAAGTTAGCAACAAGCCGGAAATATGCCATTTAAAGTTTACATACATACAAAAATGTTTTCCACATAAGATAGATAGTAAGAAATAGTAGAGCATACCTGCACTGTAAGAAAAATGGTCTCAAGTTTAATAAATCGTCTCTCTGGCTAGTTGATATGTCATTATTTTTCATGTTTTGATTTCTTTTTACATCTAATTGTCAAGCCCCGATTCTGGAATAAATTCTAAGCATAAATATGTCAATTTAAATGAAAATGCAATTCAGGCTCATATGCAGGATATACATTTATTAACAGTGAAAAAGCATTTACCCAAAGTGAATGTTACAAAATACAAAGAGTACCTGCACAGTCTGCTGACAAGCATTATCCCAACCTGTGTAGGGTTCTCTCTCATTTTGACCTTTTCTCCCTCTTTTATTTCTAACCAAATTTTTAACTTATAAATTAAGACAGACAGGAATATTAAATACCTAACTCTTTAGCAACAGCTACTAGAGAAAAACATATGAAACTAGTTATTTGCTCTCAAGCTCTAGGTATTTTAAAACTTAATTACCTACTAAAATGATTACAGCAGCTATAACGTAAGTCAAACAAGTCTGATAAGGTTCATAGGTACTACAGTAACAACTAAGATACGAGTACAACTCTTCCATTATATCCACCCTTAACATGCATACAGAGGGAGAGAGAGTCAATATGTGAGGCTTGGCTTGAGTACGAAAATGAAGTTTTCCCCTCCTATACAACCTAAAAAACAAACACAGAATTGGAGTATACATAAAATTTAATTTATTGTTTCAATTTCCCTGAAGCCAAGCCAACTGGATATGAATTCCTGATTCTGGAATGACAGTCTTCTGAATAGATTTTACTCAAGTAGGAGATATATGTCTCACACAATTCTAAATTAAGTAGCAACACAGTAAATGTCCTCATAGGAAAATGTTCGT